TGTGACATCAAGTCTTGCGCTGAACACAAAAAGAGCCACCATGAGAGCTGATTTGACACCAGTGCCTAATCGCCTATATTGTACCTAAACACCACCTGGTGCCGCCTCGGTCCAGCGTCAAACCGACAACTGTTTCGGCTCCCAGGAAGCTTCTCCCGTTGGGCGACCCCACGAGCGGCGGCGAACACCACGAGCGGCGCTGCTTCGTTGGTTTGGTGGCCTCGGCCTGGACCGAAACGGCGGTGGAGGCTGATCAGATGTGATCGGAGTTCGCTCACGGAAATTCAAGACATGACTTCAGTTTTTTGAAAAAATAGGGTACTTCAACATCAACATAAACATCAACATAGATCAACATCAACATCAACATGCATTTCAACATCAACATAGAGATTGGATTACTGAACACTGGATGCCTCGGAACCCAGCGGTAACCCACTCAAAAGACCCCGGTGGGACCGGAAGGTCATCGGATGTTTGGATGTCGGCTTTGGCATTGAAGGGCCCAGATCTTAGAACACAGAGCCACAAAGGTGGCCTGGTTCCTCTCAATTTGTTGCATGACAAATCATGACAAACATTGTGGAAATAGCGCGGTTGAAGATCGTTTTCCTGGCACAGAACTGCTTCGTTTCCATATGATCAGTAGTTTCGCAACTGCTTGGATACGATGTGTTGCTCCACTGGACAGTTTGGTTTTCCATCACCTACCAGAGGTCGTATCTCCGAAGTCTACGATGTTTTCATGTTTTTTTTGGATGTCCCTCCACCTTCCACCTGCCTCATCCGAATCATTATGTAGGAATATCAATCACCTTCCGCGACCGCAACTGTCCCTCCCAGCAACTGTAAAAAATTGACCGAACTTGTATACAGGTTGTGAAACGTCGTGAACCGCAATCGTCACATCCCAATGATCCCGGCGTGGGCGACGTTGCGACGCTTAGGATCGTTAATGGGATCAACGAAGCTGCGCCCTGCGTGAATCTTCCCCACCAGCGATATGCCGCGCAAAGGCTGAAAAATCGTCTTCATCGCATTCGAAGATCCATGAATTTTTCTCCATGGTTTCCTCTACCCCTGGGTTTCCCCTATGGGTTTCCTCTATTAGGTGTCCTCTGATTTCCTCTATATCTCTTCCTCCAGCGGATCGGCGGATGAAACCATCCGAGTCGGATGGACGTCTCCAGCGGTGGATGAACGGATGGATCGTCCACTCACCAGGACTGGCACCTCCCAAGCCTTGGGCACCAAGTTGGCACCAAGTGGCACGTGGGCGGTGGCATCGGATGGTAGCACTTGGGCAGCTGGCAGGCGAGAAAACCGGACACCCATAGGGACCCTATGGGATGAGGAGAACATTCATTGGGTTCTTTAAAGTTCTTTGCATTCTTTTGCCATATACTGTATAATACTGTATATGTCGTCAGCTGGAACCGATTTCAAGGATCCCACTCTCGCCAAGGCCGGACGATGACGTGCAATGTGCAATTCCACATTCATGACACATCCACTCAGTGAAAATGGGAACCACCGAGCACACGCAGATGGAAGCATCCGATCCTCCGATCCCTGGGCAGGGAATTGGAGATGCTTCCAGTGAGCTTTGGGGAGGCGGGAGAGTCTTTGCGGCGAGATCGGTGGGTCAGACATGCAGCCTTTTGGATGGTCTCCCGTTTTCAGAAACTTGTCAGATACCTAAAGGCTGATGATGGCTTGCTGACCTTTAAACACCCAAGGGGTGGCAACACTCGGACTAAATAAATGGTGCTGAAGGTACACTTCCCAAGAACAAACATGGAAATGGAAAAGTAGGAAAGCAGTCTATCAAGGGGTCATCTTCGACATATTGTGCGTTTTTGAGTGTATTTGGAGAACAGTGATGTTGTCTCAGTTCATCAAGAAAGTTGACATGCTTTTTTAAAAAGGATATCGGAAAGCAAAGTGTACCACACTATCACTTCCACATGTTAAAACAGGCACCTAACCCTGGGTCACACTCTCAAGGGTTCATATCAAAGGCGGTCATGGAAGTGGGGTTCGACCTTCAGGTAGCCCAGGAGTAGTGATCAGATGTACCTGGACAAGGTTAAGGGCTAGGAGCGGCTAGCAGGTTAAGGGCTAGGTCGTCCACGTTGAGTGTTCCAAGGCCTCAACGATGTCTCGCTCTCTTCCATTGCCTACACTCCGACTCACTAACATGGAAATGGGTTCAACCACCTGTTTGGTATTCGCAACATAGTCTTCACAGGGGCCATGGGCACCATCCACTTCCATGTGATGTGTTCGTCAGAGTGTACACGTCTCTGGTCAAAGGGGGGAATGGCCCGGAGCTCCCTGTAGATGTCGGGATCAGCTTTGATCAGGGAGATTTGGTGATCTTTGAGCTGGATCTCCCTGCCCGTGGCTTGCGCTCTGCGACTCTAGTAGTGGATGAACGCACCTTTGAGTCTCTTGGCTGATCGTGAAACCATACGACCGAGCCCCACTGGAAGTCCCAGCGGATCTAGAACCGGTTCGGCTTAGGGTGAGGGCAAGTTGGGTTTCATTTGGATTTCGCGTTTGTGGCATATTCGGGGCTCTTGAGGTGAACCATTTGAATCTCAATGTGTTTTTTGGTTGCCTTGATCTCTGTGACTTGTGTGCCTCTCCAAAGGCTACAGGGACCTAACATGACCTAACGACATCAATAAGGAATCGGACCTCAGCCTGCCTGTGGAGGACGATCAGAACCTAGGGATTCTACCCCAATGTGCCCTTGTTTCATCCAAGTCGGCCACCAACCAAGGCAGATAGACACCACAAGACCACATCAGACCAAGGGCCTGAAATGTTCCACAGGATTGGCAGGATTTCATGCCAGAATACCCCGTGTTCGCCCCCCCCCCGATTTTGAGTTGGATTAGGGCCACCCGAAATTGTCCCTCCATTCACTTGAAACACCTTTAGCCTTTAGTTTCGAAAGGAGAAGCTGTCTCCCCTTTTTCTTTCTCCATGTTTCTCCTCTTAGTTTTTCGATTCAGCCAGGCATGTCTTCACTGACCTGCCCGAGACAGTGCAGCTGGGACTTGAGGGACTTGAGTGCCTTCCTTCGCCTCAGTTGTGTTCCGTGGCCGGCGGAGCTTGCTTGAATTCGCGCCCACAATGGGCTCAGCAAGAGGACCCTCAGCTCGCTATAGGGCTTTGACTCTCAGAACTAGCGTTTTGGACCCCAAAGATGTAGCAGTTGGTTCGGGTGCATCCGGTGAATCCTTCGATCTTGACCCACGAGAGTACCCTGGATGCTACAGGCTACAGCGGGAATCTGAGGTCGACCGATTGCAGGCTGTGTTGCTTAAAGGGGACCCCTAGGCTAGTTAAGCCCTTAGTCACGAAAGGTAGCTTGAGCTACCTGAGTTCTCCTTGCTTTAGCAAAAATATATTACAATCAGGAGTTGGCATTGTGCATTGAGTTTGGTCCTGTAAGAAATGATTTTGTTCGTCGGGGGGGGCCCCCCTGGATCAAATCACCCCTGCGCCGGTTCACGCCGTCATGGACTTCTACCAGGGTTACTTGTGATTGCCTGCTACCTTTCGTTCACCCCCTCCTCTCTCAAGTGAGTTTACTCTTCAATCTTTATCTTCTTCATCCTGATTTCCAGAAGTCAATCTGAACACCGATCCTTGGTGTCCCCCTGCCGGATCCCAACCATGGAACACCCGCAGGGCGGTTTACCCGCGGCGGTTTACCCGCAAACCCGCCCTGACTCGCGTGCTTTGCTTGCGCTTGGACACCTAGCTTATACCGACCGCCCAGGTATCCTGCGGTCTCGAACCTGGGATCCTCGTGCCGCTTCCAACTCCTTTGCGACCTCCAGGCACCGACACCGACACGGTCCGACCGACAACGGAATCCGTGTCGACAACGAGCTCCAACGACGCAAAGGTATCGGGGTGAGACCATGGGACGATCGGCGGTTGCACGTGCGTTTTGAAGAATGTGAGGATGTGCAAGTGAACAAAGATTGAAAGGCCATGTGTGAGAGCTATCGGCTATCGATGATTACTGAAAGCAAACCACTTCTTTTGTACCAACCAGGTGAGTTAGACCAGGGCAAAGGAGGAAACTGAACCCATTCCTTGCAAAAAGGCGTTTTGAATCGCTTTGTTTGCTCACCCTGGGCACCGCAGGCACACCCCTTTGCTTCGTTCGCCATTCGTAAGAAGCTTAAGGAGGTTTGACCAGTTGACCTTTACATCACCTAAAGCCTCAGATGACACGGTAAAGACTGAGACCAAACCACGAGCTGTGAACTTCTTTAGGCTTCGGGCCGGCGGCTTTCCGGGTGATTTGGTCGCTACACCACGAAGCTGTTCGCCTTGTTCAAGTTGGACACTTCTTCCGTTCGGAGCCCGTGAGGCCGAAGCTGCGAGAACATCGCCCAGCACGTGAAGAGAAAAGAGAAAAGAGATGATATACCAAATGATACCAATCAGTGAAGAGGGCGAGAAGTGAACCTCGAAAACCAGGGACCTCTCGGTATCCGGTAATTCATCTAAACCATCTAATTTAATTATTATGTGTGTTTTTACATCCAGCAGTGTCTAGCAGTTCAAGTTCATGAGAGTCTGCCGAGCCATCAGAAAAGTTGCTATCACAGGTTGGACCCTTCCAAGGCCAATGGTCCAAAGCCTCATTTGCGGGGCACTTGTTGGGACATACATGAGCTGGAGCCATTGGCTTTTAACAATTCAAGAATTCAAGGGGACAAGTGATCCTGCGTCAACAGCAGGGTTGTTCTGTCAACCATTTGCGCTCCAATCATGTGCGCTTCGACGGCACCGCGATGGATTGAAGTTGGAAGTAGGCAAAGCCAAGAACAGGATGACAACATGCGAGGGACGAAGCCTACGTCTCTGGACACTACCATCTTTCTTCTACAGCCATTTCAACTGCCCCTTATTCTCCTTGAAAGCATGGTGACCATGGGGACCATCACATGCAGACCACCCACCTCTCCCACCTCTCCCGAATCCATTCCCTCCCACCACTTTTTCGCTCCCCATGGCGCCGGTCTCCCCGCGCTTCGTGGATGTCACGACCTTCGCGGTGGAGGAGGAAGCGGCCTACACGAAGCATTTCCGCCCCTGGGCGGCCACGTCGAGACCGGAATCGTGGAGCGGCGGTCATTCGGGAGACCGGTGGATGGGATGTGGCGTATTTTGATGTGGTTGTAGTGCTACTCGTAGTATTGTACGGGTACGTATGTACTAGTACTAGTAGTAGCAGTAGTAGTAGTAGTAGTAGTAGTAGTAGTAGGGAGTAGGAAGTAGGGAGCAGGGAGCAGGGAGCAGGGAGTAGTGAGTAGTGAGTAGTGAGTAGTGATAGTGGGAGTGGGAGTCGCAGCAGCAGCAGTTTCTGTAGTTTCTTTGAGACAGGATTGCAGACCCAAAGCGAACATCAGAGTCGACTCACACTTCCCCCTAAAGCCTAAACATCAACAACTTTGTATTCTGGCCGATATTGGGTCCCCATGGAGTCATGGAGTCAGGCGTCATCACTGGTGCCATTGAAACTCGGAACCACTGGTGTCACCAAGCTTTCAGAATGACCAAACCCTCGGCCTGAGAGGTGGACTAGCTCAACCTTTTGAGTTCCTATTTCAGAGTAAAAAAGGGTTTGCCACATGCAGAATGTCTTTTTGATCTGTTTGGATGTTCCCGAGAAATGCTGAGCAGCCCAGGAGAGCAAGGCTTTGTGGTCGTCCGGGATGTGCTTAATGCCAGCGAGGCATGGCAATTGGGAGCTTTTGGCGAAAATGGCAGGGTCCTATCTCCCTCCCAAAGACATATGGTTTGGCATGGTTGGCACAACATGGATCTGTTTTGACCATTCTTTTTCAACAGATCCACAACAAGGGTACCCTTTGCCTGGTACCTGTCAACCGCTCCTTGCCCTCCAAAACCATGGGTGTCTTGGTACGTGTGGCAATGACAGAGAACCCATCGTACCTTGGGAAGTCAGTGACCAATTTGGCCAATGGAATGTCCTCCTATGAAATTCACACATAGCAGGACCCACAAGTGTTGGTAAATGGCACCCCTTAACCTATAAGGAGGCTATTAATTGACATCTTGTAGATCACCTAGCAGGGACTTTGGTGTATACCTGTGGTTGGGGGTGGGTTCCGGGCATCTTCGATATGGTTGGAGCGCTAGGGATATCAATTGGATCCACACCTTACACTACGGAATGGCCCTGAGCGTCCACGGCTCGAAGACCTGACGGCTAAAAAGCCGTCCACAAGTACATTCAGAAACTTTTGTGGGGACGAAGGAGTGTTCCACAGTATTCCAAACATCCCCATATTCCAAGCTTTTCAACATTGTGTTTCTATCAGAGATTGGTGATCCCAGATTTGGAGAACATCGCCAATGTCCTGATGAACAGAAGGGACATGAAGAAGATGAGACCAAGAATCTCTCACAGGGTGGATCCACCGGAGAATGACTGGAACAGCGCAGGGAGTTGGTGTTGCGAAGCGCTAAAGGGAGGGGGCCATGGGCGTGCGAAATGTCGTTTTTGATTTGTAGAATGTTGGCGGGTGGTTCTGTGGGTCCCTAGAGAGGTTAGGCTTCGGGACCTACAGGGAAGCATTTTTAACTGTAAATTACAGCAAACAGACGCGATTTTCAGATTTTTTGAGGTCTTGAACTTGGGACCACAAGTTGACGAGGTTTGCATCAGCTCTGCATCTTCTTGCTGGCTCTTGCTGGTTCTTGCTGGTGATTCTTGCTGGTCGTTGCTGGTGACTCAGGGATGTTGGGCTTCAGGTTAGGTGTAAGTGCGACTACACTAGGCCCATTTGAGGTCATGTCGAGTGTATGAAGGGGTGATGTTGGGGTCCATTGGGGCTAGTGCAGTCTCTTTGCAGGTGGTTCTGTTGGTCCTGGAAGGGTGTTTTTTTAGGACCCACAGGGAGTCTGCTTTAGTGTGATGTACGGGGAACTTAGTGCAAGTGCCCTGACGTGTTAAATTTGGGCGGCTGGAGTTTCGCCAGGCCGGGTGTGTGCATATTCATGCTGATTCTACTGAAGTTCTACTGAGGTCATGTTGATTCTACTGAGTTCATGGTCAAGGTAAGTGGCGTGGTTTGTGGTGAGGGTCGTGTCGAAGCTATGTTGATGTCATGTTGAGCTATATTGGGATCATAACCGGCCAAAGAAACAGTATTCATTGTTTGGCTTGTGAAGGGCTGCTACGAGGCTCAGCAAGATGCCCAGTGGGAAAACATGCATTGATGGATATGCCAATATCTCTAACTGCAGTCATTCTGAAAGTCAGAAGGCGCAAGATGCCCCACCCATGTCCCGAACATTGCAGGCACAAAGACTTCTTCTCATGTTTCCCAGGACGAACAGCCAAGCAAGTGATTCTCTGCTTCCCTCTGAGCCAGCGCCACTGGAATTCTTTCCACCTCGAACCACGGGCTCTGTTCAACATGCTCGGCAGAACATCTCAGACCCTGTACATGTTCCGCCAGCGTTGCAAAAGGAAATGCAACACCATCACTGATCTTCCCACCCTCCCTGTGACGTGTAGAGCTACCAATGCAAAGGGCAACGCAAGCCGTCGCAGAATGAATGAGCGTCGCAGAATAAAGTGTACCATATTGTACCATTATGATTGACCTTCCCACCCTACTTTTGACATGCAGAGTTAGCAGCTAGCAGGGCATACAGCAAAAACAAAGCAGAGCATGATGATCAGGACGAAAACAGCCGAACATCACAGGAATGCTTTGTGCTTTGACACAGCGTCAGGAAACAATGGTGCAAGCCAGGCATTTAGTTGCATATCTATGTACATACATACACAGACAGATAGGTACATAGATACATAGATTTTTTTGCTACGGTGTAGGAAGGGTTTGCCCGAGGCGGCAACCACGGCTTGGCTTTGGGCCGTGGCCATGTGGCCACCAACTCTATACATAGAAAGGGAGAACCGTGGGGGGACCTGTGTCAGGAGACACGTGGGTCGACTTCACAGACCTGGTGGAGGGTGCGGTGTAGACCGAATGGCAAGCCTTTGCCCCCTCTCTGGAGGTGGAGGGGCTCGTAGGGCAAGGCGCGGAGGTGGAACGAGGTGAGCCTGAGCCCGAGGACAGCGAGGAAGAAGACGAAGACAGGGGCTCGGTGGTCCACAGCAACTTTGTTGCGCCATCACCAGCAACCTATCTCAGCCAGGTCCCACCGATCCATTTGGGCCCAGTGACGGCGCCAGATCCCAAGCAATTGTACCTTTACTTCGTCCTTGAGAATTGGCAATTGGAAAGCAGAATCCAGGCTGACGTCCTGGGGCTTGTGCTTTTGAGCGAGCTTTCAAAGAACCTTGCAGTACGGACAGCAGCAAACCACCAGATCGCTGGCGATGTCCAGCTTGAGGTAGCGTGGTGCACACACAAATATCGGCTGGACGAAGATGGCGAGCGTCAAGAGGCCAAGGGCTCTGGCGCGAGGACCCACTTTTACCTTGTTGCAGTTTGGTCGAGTCAGGGCTCCGAGCCCGAGACAGAGCCAGCCTGTCGGAGATGATGTCAACGTACGTTGCCCAGGTTTACTAATTTACCACACCACCATGTGGTTCGAAAGGACTACCCCGGTGAAGGCGGGCGTTGCTTGTCCTCTCGCTTGCTCCTTCGCTGGGGGGGCATTGCGCCGCTGGATTTGTTTCACCTGGCCACTGATGTGTATGGCCAGCCTCATGGCTGCATGGAAGATTGACTTTTTATGCACAACGGCAGAAATACATCATTCATACATACATATGTATACACACACATATATTTATATATATATATGTATATATATATATATATGTCTATATATGCAATCACTTCGACAAACAGGCCTGTACAAGTTGACTGCTACTAGACATCATTTGGATCATCTCAAGCATCGTCATGAAGACACTCGTTTGCTCATGCATTTAATTTATGATCTTAGGGTTAATCATCACCACCGCGTGTTCAGGTGGCCACCGCTTCTAAACAACGATGTGCTTGTGAAAATCACGCAGAAGAGGCCTATAGAGCTGCAATTGCGCGTGCTTCAACTGACAGGATTTCGATCTCATTGTCTACCTTACCACAACATGCACGTTAGTAGCTTGTCCATGCATTTAGTTCTAACCACCCACTGCCAGTTCGCATGCGTTGCTATTGCCAGGGAAAGCGCTGATGGACGCTTCAACTGACGCCGTCCTTGCAAGAAAAAGACGTGTCCAGTTTCGTTTTCCGTTGTTTCCGAGCTGGCTTGCAGAATCTTAGGTTTTCAACGCAGGGAAACGAACTACTACGTTCCTTCAGATTCTGTCTTCTGTCGCCTCGTGTTTCGTCTGTCTATAGGAATCCATCCCTTCAGGTCCAGGAGACCATCGATGAGATTTGGAGCTGCCACAGCTTGTTGGGAGGCGGTGCTTTAGATCGCAAGGACGTGCCGAGTCTCGTCCCGTCCCGTCCCTGGGAGTCACCACGACCGGGATGCTCATGGATCATGGATGGCTCCTGCAGTGGTGGAGGGTTCCCAACCTTTTTTTGGGAACATTTGACGTGGAGCCTTCAATGGATGCTGAGAAGCTTGTAGGATTTTTCGAAGAAATGACTATTTTTTTCATTGATTCACTTCCCGTGAAAAGCACTCGTTTTTTTTTCGATTCTTATCCTTTTGGCATCCTTGCAAAAATTGTTCCTGAGACACCTACAATGAAAGGGTAGCGCCGCGCGTGTTCTTTAAGGCTTATGACTGACGATCGTGACATATTTTGATGAGAGGCTTCACCGGGACTCACCCTCCTCATGCAGCCCAAGCGTTTGAGGCAGTTGGGACTTGACGACCTTTGGTTCAACCACAAAATTATGCTGGGTTTGTGCCCTTAATACATCTTTGTCTCAGCCTGTCCACGCCGCGGCTGGAACAATTCTTGCATTCCAAGCATTTCCAGTGCTCAGTTCGACGCTTTCAGAAACTCGCAACGGTTTTCCCTGACGGGTTTTCCAACGAGACCGGCGTGAAAGTCCGCCCACACGATCACAGGAGCCTCGAAGTTGGGATGCATGGCCTGGAGGCTCTCGAAACTTCGTCGAGTCCAAGGAGTTTTGGCGGCAGAAGATGAGGTCCCGAGGTCCCGAGGTGAGGGTTGCGCCGAGGTGGGAAGTGCTGGCAGCTGCTGGGTGGTTGTAGAAGTGCTGGGTGGTGCTGGGTGAGTTGGAAGAACGTGGGTGAAAAGTTCGCGTTCCCCCTGCCAGGGGGTTCCGGCTTAGAAGGAAGTTTCTGGTGAGAACTTTGCCGATGGAGCTGGATTTTTCGAGAAGATGATGACTCTGGATTCAGAAACGATTGTTTTTTTGTTGAGGAATCCTTGGAACTGGTCACGGAAATATACCGAACCGAACTCAGAAGGTCGTTGAAGGAGGTCGGTCTCCCTGATTTGCACATTCACTTTGAACTACATGCCCACTTCTCTTTTTTCGGCTGTGAGTCAATGCATGTCAACGGATTGCTGGGGAGGTTGAGTTCCTCACAGCCGACCTTGACTCAGGCGACGGTCGAGGTCCAAAGTAGACCCCCCGAACAGAAGATACCCTGGGTGGCTATGTACATCATGCTGAGAATGCGAGACAAGGTGGCATGAGTGGCATAATGTTAACGGCTGATCTGAATTATGCACAAGGTTTCTTTGTTCGTCAAATTGAGCACTTCTCCAAGCTGACCTGCGTGGAACACATTTCTTTAAAGAGGAATTCTTCTGAATTCGTCATGTCCACTTCAAAATGTCCAGTTTGGCACGCGCCCTTGTGCGGCAGGATGACTGCAACACCCTCAGTTGTATGACAACAACACCCTTTGTTGATACATTGGTAGATCCACAGCTACTACACGTCTGGGATCCTTTGCTTTGATTTACTCGCTCTATTCACCTGACTATAGAGAGAGTCACCTTCCAATCACGAGGGTCTTAAGACTTGTTTCGTCAGTTCCCACGAGCTCGTTTCTCTCGTTGGCTGGGTGGCTGGGCGTCACCACCAAGGACCCCACGGCAGAGCTTCAGACCTGGAGGAACCGGGTGAACGGCACCCTGAACCGCGTCTTCGACGTGCCACTGGGCCAAGGTGGATGACGGTGTTAGTGCCAGTCATCCACCAGACAGGGGGGGATGAAATCGGATGACGGATTGTTGAGGGGGTGGGTAGAGCGGGTAGAGCTGGGTAGGTGGCCCAGATTCCGGGTCACGGTTCTTTTGATGACAAAACCCTTGCAACAACATCTATAGGCATGGCATACCAGCTGGCTTTAGCTGCAAATAGATATGACTTGCGGCAGAGCTATCTTTCAGGGGGATCTCGGCATCCAAGAGGTCTGGTATGAGATGTTGCGGAGGGAACAGAGGAAAACAGCGCAGGTAGCAGAAATCAGTGAGTGAAGTGCTTTCCATGTGCCTTCCTTCATCTCCCATTTCTTCCATCTCCCAGACCAAGGCTTTGGGAAAGCTTCGTGCCCGGTGCGAGCGAGGCGAACCATCGAACCATCGAGCCGATGGCGCTGGTGCAACAACGAAGGGACGAAGTCGCTGAGTAAGACGAAAGAAAAGGACAGAAACAACAAGGAAACCGGAAGAAGCCCAAGTGGTTGGATCATGCAAACCGAAGATTTGGCCAATTGTTTGGAGTCTCTCAAGCATAGAACATCACAGAACTTCAGCCTTTGAAAAAAGACGATGATTTTTCGAAGATCATTCTGGAGAGAGTTCACTTTCCCTTCCATTTCTTTATGTCCTGTCTTGGGAGCAGCCGGTCGCCGGTCGGGTCTGTTCCGGTTCGCAGCCGGTCGATGGGTCCGACCACGGCATCGGCCACGTGGCGTGACCGCAGGGTCAGGTTGTGTGGCTGGTGGAGCCCATGGAGGAGCTGAGTATGTTGGGGCTTTGGGGTGGGATGGGATGACATAATCAAAATCAATAGAACTTTGCTTCCTTTGATCGTTCGGGGGTGCAGTATTACTGTATGCTGTATCATTTCTTTCCACCGATTCAATGTATCTGTCCCATTAGGCCACATCCAGACCACAACACCCATCCATGGACCCTTGACCTCCCCATTTGCTCCCGATGCACCGGTCCCATTGGGGTCCAGTGGTGTCCGTCGCTTCGCAGGGTCTGGTGATGTCCGTCGATCGCCTGGGACTCATGCGACCCACCCTCTGGCGCGAGACGGAGACGGAGACCATCGAGAGGCGTGGACCGTGACGGGTCACGCGGAGCGGACGCGGGCGGCACCGGTCTGAAGCAGTGATTCAGTTGGTCTGAACCAGTGAAGCACCGAACGAACAACGCCCGCTGTGAGGCCTGAATGGCGCACCAGCCGAGATTGGCTTCACTGGGACCAGAATCCTTGGTCGCTTGGCTGAGCTGAGCAGGTGAAACGCGCGGTTTCCGCGCGCCTGGCAGTCGAAGTGGTGAATGCTGAACCTCCTCAGGTGCCACAAAATCATCATCAGAGAACAATGTGTGCGCTCTACACAGGAGCGGCCAAGCGGTCTGTAATTAGTCAGAACTGTAGCCATGCGCACTGGCCAACAAGGAATGAGCCGGTTTGGGACTATCCTGTTTTCACTACGTCAGTTCGGCTTTGACGAACAAAGAATGGTTTTCTTATGAGTCGAGTCAGACAAACCGAGAGCTGCGATCCCGCTTCCACCAGGAACAGATAGGAACAGATATACGGCATACAGGTTCTCAAATGGATACGCTCACGAGTTCCAACATATGGTCAATGAGGGCTAACACAGGTCACCCTTCTATCTAATCTGGGGGCCTTTAAACTTCTATGCACACTGCCTGTGGATCGCCGACCGCCTGAGCGCGCGTGCGCGCTCTCAGGGCCATGCCCGAGTTCGAGGCCATGCAAGGCTTCATCAGCCTTTCAGGCCTCATCAAACGGACGGGACGGACGGAAACGGACGGGGAGACAGAGACGAGTCGTCAGGGGGTCGGAGAAGAGAGCGCAGGGAGGAGGATCCACTTTGAGCCGGTCGCAGCGGGAAGGGTGGCTTTGGAATGCGGGAACGCTGGTGGTGCGGTGTAAGCCTTATTGTTGAATGCTCTGACATGAGTTTCGGATGGAGGGGGCATAATCGCGGTTCAAAGAGGCTTCTGCATAAACCATGAACAATCATGAACATAGACACCCCACCCACACATCCAGGTGGCAGAAGGGATGAGAGCCAATGGTGGTGAGGTCCCCCATGTAAACCCACACGAATCGTTGATTCGGCTGCATGCTCCAAACATTGTCAGACTCAGTTTGCATGCGGAGGAAGGCATCGGATCCGACTTCCGATACGTGTCTTTTCTCTTATACAGTACGTCGTTTCAGAGTAGATGACACAACCCCAAGATATCGTAGTTCAACAGGGGTCCACGTCCACATCAACCACCCAACTTGGCGGTCTATAACCACTGTGCCATCGACCACTGACAGCACAGTACCATCCCCCATGGCGGACGAAGGAGCTCGCGCGTCGCACCAGGCAGTCGCAGCTCGGGGGGCTTTGTGACGGTGCCCGAGTTCCAGCAGCACTTCGCCCAGTGGTCCAAGGATCACCCCGAAGGCGCGCCAGTTGCCAAGAAGCTCGTTCTTTCCAAATATCCTCGAACCCAACAAGCCATGGCCTCCACCCTAGTAGCGATGGCCTCCAACCTATAATAGAGCGATGAAGCCTTTCCTTCAAATATATATCATCATACATACATCATACGAATCATATGCTATTTTGATTGCTATGATTTCTCTCCAACGATTTCATCCTCTTCAACAAGTGGTGCTTATGCTGAAAAAGGGGTTTATCATGGTTTATCTTTTTTTTTGGGACTCAGTGGATAAATATTCTAGAGCTTGCTTAGCCTGAGTTTTGCTTAGGGTGTTTTTTCTGCTATGGGTGAATGATCGTGATGTCTTGCCACATCCAAGTTGCGCATCCACGTCTTCAGCATCAAACCATCCCGGGTGGATCTCCGGTCCCTAAGTAGGAGAGAATGGTCCATCCGGAAGTGGCGGTGTCGGAAGCCTGTAGAGCCGGTAGAAGGTCTTAGACCCTGGAAGACTAACATGGACCCTGAAAACCAGGAAAACACTCTTCCAGGGGGCCAGAACGTCAGGGTCTATGTGAGTTTTCGGGAGTGTATCACATCTTATCACTATTTTAGAGATGGAAAGGCCTGCAACGAGTCCCCATCATCCACTAACTGGGCTTGGTCAGGGAAGAGGATAGTCTTGTTGGACTCGACTGGTCTTTTATTCCTCACTTCCATGCAATCCAAGACCCGCTGTCTGGTTGTGCTCGGAAGGCAGCATTCCCAAGCGCAGTAAGACCATGATCCCTTTCCCAGTTCCGCTGGAGGACGAAATGCAGGCCAGGAGCTTTGGGAGCTTTGGAGGTTCCCCCAAATTGATGATTTGAATTTGTCTGTCAGAATGCTCTATAGAGTGGGGTATCAGTGCTCTCTCAGGGTGTCCATGCTTAGCGAAACATTTGGCTTTCCAGTTGCTTCGTGCATTTTTCGTAGATTTAACAGGGTTAGTGTGGGCATGACAGGAATTTAACATATTGTTCATGCTCGTAGCAGTACACTGGACTTGACTGAGAACTTGACCCAAAAGCATCCAAAAGCGGAATTTCAAGTCGACATATACGGGAAACATGTGCATCTCTGAAATGGCTTTCGAAGCCGCTGTGGCTGCCGACAGATGAAGACACCCGCATCCACCCAACCACGTTCTAAACGACGAAGACACCCGCAGTTTCACCCAAAAGACACCCGCGGTGTGTCTGGGTGTGTCTTGGAATAGGGAGACCTCCCAAAGAACCCCTGGAAGAAGGGAAATAGGCTAGGCTACAACCATCTACAACCATCTACAATTTATTGATTGTGGATGTCCATTATTGAAATACACAACCATTTCTCCACCAAAAGACCCGCTGGAACCCAGGCTCGACGTTGCAAGATCGTGGTGCCCAGCGGTGGGCTCCTCGTGGCCCGGTGCTGACCGGTGGTGTGACGTCCATGCGAAGCTGGTGGTCGAACCGTGATGGTTTGTCCATGGTGCCAATGGGGTCGAACCGCGTTGTCCAGCTACCTTTTTGAGAATCTTCTACCAGGTTTGAGGGCTCTTCAGTTCTGACACCTTTTGTATCCTGTTGTGTTAGTTGAGGTTGTGTCTCAAAAGAAGCAACATGAAGCAACACCGTCCAAGGAGTCAGCAAGGGATGCCTCTAAGTGATGGCCTAGGGCCTAGGAGCTGAAGTCCACTCATGTTCCAGTTTCACGCTTCCTTGGAATCGAACCACAGGTTTGCCGATGTTTCTTAATCTTTGCCGCGCACTCGTAAGACCACTTGGTATACACAGTGTGTGATTGGATGTGGCAAAGCAACATGGAAACTGACAGAGATGGTTAAGGAAGGGGATGTTCCTCTAATTCTTCTACTGGGGTTATACTGAGTTCTAGTGACTAACAGATTCAAGAAATTCAAGAAGCGTATCTGCCGGTTGGACCATGCACATGTCATTTGCCGCCACCTGTTTCAAAGATATTTTTAGTTGTATAATATCCCTTGGGCTTTCAGGTTTGTCAGCAACTCAGATTGTCAAAGAAAAAGCACCACCAACACCATCCCCCCAAAACCTGCATGGGAACATATATTAGTTCGTGAACAATAAATTATCTCTGTACTTCCGGGTGATTTTCCCCACGCGACTTCCTTCAAACAACCAAAGGAAGAAAGGGTGCAAAGCTTGGCCCATCTTGGCACTCCAAAACGTGCATCTCTTGCTTTGACCAAACGTCTTCCCTTCACATCGGCTTCACCCTCACGTCGCCTTCACCTTCACACACACCGATCTCCAAAGGTTTGGGACTCGCGTTTACCTCACGAGAACTTTCCGAACACCGGCGAAGACTGGCGCGTGGCCACTGGGCGCACGAAGACGGGCCACAGGATGGAGGTTCCAGCAAAACTGGTACCCTTCGATTGGACTCATTGCGAAGTGGAAAACCATGGAAGAACCGAACCACCTGTTTGGTTTTTCAAAGGGTCGGAGCCAAAGGCCGCCCATTTCGGTGATGTCTTCGTCAGTTCCGCCCACCTTCCGTCTTTCGATCCACGGAGTCGTGAAAGGCCGGGGTCACCTGGTTTCGCCCCAGCCCACAGGCCACCACGATCAGGGACCTCCAGCCACACCCCGAAAGAAGGTATATAACCCCCCAGATATGGATTGCAACATGCTCTTCAGAATTGGTTGACCTGCCCTTTTTCCTTCGAACTCAGATGGAAAAAGGGCTTCTGTTGGATGAGCTGCTGAAACCAGCGGACTCTGTTAGGGCCAACCATGCCACTTGCAAGCGCCAATGTGAGGTGCAATACGTCACCTGCAAGCGACTGTCGCCCGCGGATGTCTTGGCCCGGGCCACGGCCTGGCAAAATGGCTTGAGAACAGGCAGAAGTGGCCGGCGCGCGAACAACGGGCGGTGGGGCGCAATGCTTGGGTTCAGAAGAGGACTATCTGACCAGGTAACAAATTGATGTGGCTTTTACTCTTGCGGTTCCGGTGGTGTGGCATCCGTGCCAGAATGCGAAGGTACCAGATGGCATTGCCACGCCTATCATGGACCGTTTTGGAAGTGTATCCTTTTCACCGGCTTCTGAAGTTGATGCGTTGAACTTTGCCCTAGAATATGATACACAATTAACTAAGCATGTTTCTGAACGGTGTGACATCCTTTGAATTCTATGCTCAGGCTCCAAAAGAACTGTCACCGCCAAGACAACCGGACAAAGCACAATCCCCTTGCCCGAAAAGCAGTAGCACCGCTAGCGTGCCGGGGCAGGCTTGATCCCCTGCTCCTTCGCTCAGCGTTACACTGCCGCGGAGCAGCTCAGGCACGGCAGCCAAGCCAGTGGTGGAAGTGAACTGAAGGAAGAAGAATGAAATGAGACCCCAGTGAGCTAGAGTCCGTTCATCATGAATATATGAACACCAAGTTTGCTACACCTGCAAACAATCTATTGTGGTTCTTCTCAGAAACTTGTCAAAGACGAGGCCCAGAGGTGTACTGTTATTCAGAATCATTGAGATAGTGCAGGTGTGTTGCGGATCTCAAAAACGTTTAAGTTAAAAGGATACCATGTGAAGGAGATGCTATCCGATTCCGATCCAAAATTCGACTGATGTCAGATCAATCGACCAGGCTTGGCATGACAACTGAAGACACCACGCTAACGTTGGAGACAGCTGTCAAGGAGGGCGAAAATCTCTCAGAGGAGCAGCGTGAGGTGCGCAGAGGGGTTGGTGTTGGTGGTGTATGTTGGCATAAGAGTTTCCCATGATGAAGACCTTCTCAGTAGCCTTGGTGAGTTGTATCTTGATGTTTTCTCGGTAGGGGTTTAATCAATTGAGATGTTCCATTGCTCAAGCCGCTAATCAATTGTGTTTGTGGCCGCTAATCAATTGAGATTCAGGAAATCATTGAGTTTCTCCCTCACTCACTCCTCACCATGCTTGTCCTTGTAAGCCACGCGGGTGCCGAAGGGTCGAAGAGACGGTGTAAGAGACGACGGTTGACCTCTTGGAGGGTCCAGACATGGCTAGACATGGCTTGGCGAAATCAGAAGCGTCAGTCTCTCCATACCTTCCCCAAATCCAGCTGAAGTCGTGCACCAAATCCTCTCAAAACGATGACGGAGGAAAGGAGTTGAGGACGGGGGCAAACTGTTGGCCCTTCCAAACTATTGGACTTTCTGGAGTTGCTTTGGGATGTGCTGTCAGGGGATGCCCTTGCGTTGGGCGGGGTGCGGGATTTCCAGAGAGCTAGCACTTGAGGAGCCTGCAATTGACACGAATGTGCGGCAAGGTATGTTGGGCCGAAGTTGGAGGATTACTGGGGCTCCCAGAGACAAGTGGAGAGAACTTGCTTAATTAGTTGGATGTTGCCCTTGACCATGTGATCAGATGTCCAATTACACTGATAGCTGGCGTCCTTACATGACCCACCCCCAACAAACAACATTTGGTCGAAGAGATTTAGTCTTTGTGGCCTCTCCGCATGAAGAGATTTGTTCTTGGTGACCTCTCCTGATTGACCTCCCAATAAAGATCGAATTGCACTTTTCTGACCCCTCCCCAAATAGCAAACCTTGAGGGGGGTTATAAATCCGGTGTTTCCATTATACTTCACAAGACATTCTCCAGGAAGTACTACGAAGCTCAATTTCAACACACTTCTAAGATACCTTTTCACCGAACCAAAACCCAACAGCTAGCAGTCTGCAGGCTGCCCAAAAGCTGAAGCGAGCCTACCGCTTGAAGCAATCGGCGGAGTTGCCTGATGAGCTGAAGGAGTTAACTCTTAACAGATGAAGTACAGCGGTTTCAGAGTAGATGGCACAATCCTCTACATATTTGTTGGATGGAGGTCCACCATATAATATAAACCAAGCTTGGGGATTATTCCATCTAATTACTCTCCATCCGGTATCAGCGACCTCATGCTCGGATCCTGAGAGGTCTCTTTGGAAGATCACTTTCTTTTTACAACCATCTTTGACACCTTGATCAATGAAGTATCATCCACTGAAACACCAGCTGGGACCCTCCGGTTGAGTGGTACACTCGCCATGTTCAGGTGATTTTCAGTCATGTGCGCAAAGGCTCGATTTTAGCCGCTTCCGATACCGCTCTTGGAACCCCCAAGTGTATAGGCCGATCTTCACAATGGCACTAGCCATACCTTGGGACTGGAATAAAGTTACTTAACACTGTAAATGATGGTAAATGTATGTCTCACTCCCAATGAATGTTCTACTTTCAACCGGCAAAATCCATCCAAACACGGCAAAATCGCGCGCCAGGAGGCGGTGCAGCTCTTCCGCGAAGCCTTCAAGGTGAACCCAGAGCTCCGAGAGGCAAAGCAGTGCTGTGGAGCGGGGGTGGTCGTTCTATCAGGTGGACTCCAGGTGGAAGAAGGTCCTGATTGTTGGTTGCAAGGTTAGAATGCTCAGAGAATACAAGAAGAACTCAGGAGTCCGTTCCTTTTTTTCTGAAACGTCCGACATGCTTTCATCGTCCATTTGGACCTCCTCCCACGTCCGATCGATCCGAGTCCGAGGAATTGGGACCGTGCAGCATATACGCAGAGTGCTAACCAACCAAGCAAGCAAAACGTGTCACCGACCAAAGCCATCGTTTGCCCCACCCGTCGAACCGTTCGCCGTCCACCTGTCGACCGCTCTTCGCGTCGAGAGACCGTGGCGTCGGGCGTTGACGGAATGGAACAGGTCTTGCAGCAGATTGGCCGTGCGGAGAGTCCGGAGACCGAGGACGGAGCGGTGTTCGGCCAATGGCCCGACCTTTGGTGTAAAGTGTAAAAGAAAAAGGGTACGTACTTGTACCAAAACCTTTTCTGTAGCTTTTTGTGACTTTTGGCCAAAACCAACATATTGAAGAAATCTATTTGTACTTGTACCTAAGGAGGTCCAGGTGTTTCTTTTTTCAAAGCACGACTCGGAAGGAAGCATGGTTTCGTGGAGTGAACAAACCCTCGGCTTGGTATTCGGGAACTGATCTTCCGAACTTGGGGCCATGCCATCCACTTCCATGTTAGTTCCAGGGAGTGTAACATGAAACATGACCTGTAAATACATATAGATATATGTGTACAAAGATTGAGAACCTCTTCAAAATACCATGATGTATAATATACAGTTTATTTATATACACGTATAATCGCCATTGGTCTATTGCGTTGCAACAAACACACGGCAAACTCACGTGCCGTCGAACGCTCTCGTTCTTTCACGGCAAACTTTGTCTTGTCGCAGTTGGACACAACATGCAGTTGGGCAAAGCCAAAGGAGCCAAGTCTATGAAACAGAATGAAAGAGATGAGAGTGACTGGAACCATGTGGAACAGTTTGGAAGTGATTGGATGCCGAGGTAGCTACCTGCCCTTCTGGATCATATGAGCAAGAAAAAGAGTGCAAAAAGGCGAAGTTCGGAGTCCCAGACGAAGGCTGAAATTCTTGTTCCGTTCGTAGTAAGGCCAGGAGCCCCGAACGAAGCGTCCTTGCTCTGTTCGTAACGAGGCCCTTTGTTCCGTTCGTAGCGTCCGATCGCTCCTAGTAGCTTCATTTCAACCTTTACCCGGAATGACCAACGAGCCGAAGAAGACTTTCAGTGTCGAAACCACCAACCAGACGGAACGAGATTTGAAGCCAATGACGTGACATGGAGGAGTTGAGAGCCTCTTTTGATTCAGTTTTAGTACAGTAGCCGGGCAGGATCAGCTTGTTGGAATTCTAAGCCGCCAAATTGAAACCTCGCTGACGGCGCGCTTGGCGCCGGTGTCTTGTAGCTGGTGAAAGAGTGACTACAGACGCAGGATCACCTCGCTGGGATCCCGAACGATTTCGAGACGTCGGATGTTGTCCGATGTTTCGTGCTTTGGACGATGGCTCGATCGTGTCCGCAAAACGTGGGAATCCTGGAAGAACCCATATTGTCGAAAGAGGATGTTTAGGAAGAATGGCAGGAGTCGGTCCACGACATAGTCTCAGATACAGTCTAGACTCTTTGTGTTGTGAACATTATGGTGGGCTGGTCTGGCAAACATTGAAGTGCGTTACAATTGTTCACCCGTTCGGAAGATATTGGGCGATTCTTAAGCCCCCTACGTCTTGCTCGATAGGAGGGCTACAGCCAGGGAGCCAGGGGGCTCCCTCCCTGGCTCACATGATGACATGTCCACGAGTTTTTATTTGAGCCGTGGAGAGCACAAGGAGCCGTTAAAACTGAACAAGTGCACCCGAGTTGTTAGATCCACCATGCCAACATAATGGACTTGCCAAAATTTCTCATGAGCATATGCATTTGGAGCACCGGTCTGCAGCGCCATGTTGGCCAAGCTGTGCCGCTTGAGCGGATCGGCGCCGCTCCGAAGCGCATCTTTACGAGCCACTTGGTGTGCAAAAGGTGACGCTCACTAGAGACTTGGGTCGATTCTTCTCCTTTGATGAAGGGGCTTGAGCTATGGGCCCAGGGGCTTTGCTCACTTTGCAACCCTTCAGCTTTGCACCTCAGGCCATTGTTCCTTTTCTTGGCTCAAGTCTTCTCTTAGCCGTTTGGGTTTGCATACCGCATGCTTGTGAAGATTGACCCAGAGAATGAGGCTATATAAAGAGACGGACATCGAAGCAGCTTGGCTCTTGCCTGCAGCCGAGTATCAAAACAGAATTCTTGTGAAGGTCTTCCGATTTACATCCACTGCCCTCCCATGTCTTGCAACTGTGTCGTACAACTTGCACACCGGCATGGAGAGTTCATCGGAGCAGGAGGGACACGAGAAAGACGGAGTTTTGCTCGCAGAAGATGGGTGGTGGCCTCTGCCCCCTGATCTGCTGATGAGCGCAAGCGACCAGGAGACCAACATGGCCTTCAAGCGGTTCAGGGAGATTGTTGGAGAGCAAGTGGAGGAAGATCAGGCAGATGAGCTAGATTTGCAGGAGTCCATTGAGGGAAGGAGGCTTCAACACTTTGGTCTGAAAATCCGTGCGGTGCCTGGTTCACTACTGGTAGGTATAAGAAAGCTCTTCTTCGCAAGCAACATGAGACTTTTCATGCGCATCATGAAGGCCAACAGCACCATGCTGACCATTTCAACAAGTCTTTTGCTGCGAACAAGAGGAGTTCTCAGCTGGCCATGTTCGCTCTTTTTTGAGGCCAACGCTGCTTTTTGCTGCTTTGAGTCGTTTGCATTGTGCAGTGAGTGTTTCAACCTCCAAAAGTTGAACTTACCTGCACTTCCCAAGTTTGCCCTGTCTGATGTAAGGATCTCCGAGCCGCAGCAGGAAGGTTTGACGGCATTTTTTTGGGGAATCAGTTGATTCCAGACAGTCTTCAGCCTTGTGTGGTACATCGGGTATATTGCTCAAGGTATAGACGAGGTGACCTTGAACCAGACATGCGCTGTTCCGGAGGGATCACCTATGTGGTGCAGAACCTTGCATGGCTACTGGTGGCAGCTACACAGATCCCGCAGTACTGCGTTGAAGGTTGGATTTCTCCAAATTCAGTAAACTGCTTCACCAGCATGACGACTTTCACACGGTCTGGAGTGGAGATTGCGTCAGACGCGCTCAACATCGTCCATGCTTGTGCGTACCTCCATCGGAGCCCCAGCTCATCCAGATTGCTTGCGGCAAAAAGCCTGGCAAATGCCTCAGGTCAGGATCCCTCACATGCGCCGGAACGATCTACCTTGCCAGCACCACCATGGGCTTTGAAGTGGTGGCTCAACAATCAGGGTTCTGCAAATCCTCCACCAGGATATGGAAGCAACAGTAACAGCGGGGTGCCCGGAAATTTGGCCAACTCACAGGCAGAGTGTGCCTTCCAAAGCTTGGAAACCATAGATGATATCTTGACCATTGCCATGGACACATGGGCTCTTTCCTCTCAACACTACAACGAACCAAGAAAGTTGCGCATCAAATCTGTTGGCCCTCGTGGGATCACTTCCCAATATCGCTCAAGATATCTTCAATCTCTTGGACAAGTGCAACTTGTTCTACAAGATTTGGGAGCCATGTGCAGCCGATGCGGCTGACATTGCTCATTGCGCTTTGGGCATTGGCGCTTGGGCGGCGTTTGTTGTACAGAACTGTGACCCATAGGAGAGAGACATCTTATGTGAGATCTCTAGCCACTCGAACTGCCAATGCCGCGTTCGACATGTGGGCAGATAATTTTCCGCCTTCCTATTTCAAAAGGAGTGGCAACGTTATATGATTCCTATGCATGTAGACAATCACGTTATTAGATTCGAAGCATCCAATCACTGATGAGACTTCCAGGCTAAGCCTTGTTGTCTGAGACCTCTATATAAGAGGTCTGCCCACCGACTGGGCCCTGATCAGACCGAACGTCGTGGAGCACAGCAGAGGAAGCCAAAGCAGGTGGGAGCTCGGTCGTCGTTCTCAGTCGTTGGGGATCCAAACCACTGGGTCCTCCGGTCAGTCTGGTGCTGTCTGGTGGTCGAACTCGCGGCACATGGTGGACTGGTCGAAGTGCAGAGATTCACATGGCAGACATGTCTGGTCCATGCATGGTGGGTCACGACCTATCCCCACGTGCGCGCCGCTGCTCGCGGCGTGCCCGACCCATTGGACCATGTCTCCGGTCGTGGTGTTCAAATGAATTGATAGCGAAAACCGCAAGAACTGGGACGGATGTAAGGAATCAAACATCGAGGCGACTCCCAAGTGCGAAGGACACATTTGAACTCAGTGCGAAGCACCACAGAGAAGCAGGGGGATGAAGGGGTGACCCTTGAAGAAGCTGTAGGTCACTGTAGGTCAGCATAGTGGTCTGCATATGTTCTTAAAATTACACATGGTTCCCTGGCGTCATTGAATGAGATAGTTCATTCTTCCAAACACTGAATTTTGATGAATTTTGTGGCACCAAGTCTGACTGCCCAAAACTTCTTGGTGGCGCCTTGATGGTTCTGTCCCCCGCACTGGTTTGTCACTCGAGCCCACTTCGGCCACCCAGATGTTTGGAGACTGGACACCGGGACCATGTCAGCCCAGAAATTCTCTTCACCAAGGCCTTCCAGTCAGGCAACCACGGCGTTTATTGGGTGCGCCACAGGGTGGTTGTTGGTCGGGTCGTTTCATGCCAACTCGTGAAAAATCCCTCCGAGCCACTGAGAATCCGAGGCTTCGCGGCTCAAAAGAACGCGCTGAGATCCGAAGTCGATGGTTTTCTGGAGAAAAAGCGGGTCTTGGTCGACGCGTATGCACCGGCACCGGCCACGCAAGAGCGACGCCGAAACGCATTGGAACGCAGAACGACCGGTGAGGTCCTTCAGTGGTAAAAGCTGAGAGGGAGGAGATGAGGAGTCTACGTATTAGGACCATTAGGAGATCAGTGGCTGGTTGAAAAGAGCAGTTGTTGCGATGCCACATGCCCGTTTGCAGCCGCTTCCCATCATCAAAGTCATCGGAACTCCTTCCAAGTCACCTTGCAGCGAAAGAGTGCAGGCAGGAGTGGCCGAGGGGCAGTGACATGCGTGTTCACGACCATGAAAACCCCACCCCTCTGCCCAATGGGTGGAATCAGCAGCGAACTCTGAACTTGAGGAACACCACACGGGTGTGAATTCGAATAGGGAGACACCCCGTTGGACTTCACCCCCTATAATTAGAATAGGGAAACAATATAAAAAAAGGACCATTCACCAGCCGCCATTGGTATGGGGGTTTCCCTCAGTCTCACAGCCTGGTCTAACAAGAGGAATTCTTCCCACAGATGTCCCACAAGTCGCAGGAAATCGACCAAAAGCGCTGTTTCTCTCCAAGTGGTGGCCTCCTGACCCGGGAAGTTCCAGCGAGAGCCGCTGGGATCAGAACGTTGTGCGGCACCTGTGTTCCACCTGCCATAACCAGTGAATGGACTTGCAGAAGAACAAGTCAACTCATGCCAAAGTCTTAAACGTGAAGTGAGGTTTCTTGACCAAGTTGTGATATTGCTCGCGAGTGAATTGCCTGAGCATGCCCGAGTCAAGAGCAAGTCGTGATCATTTTTTTGAGGGGTGTTTCTTGTTTTCCAAGACGTGAGCTGGCTCTTCTTCGTCCCATTGCTGCCCACACTTCCGCCTCAACGTTGGATTGTTGCACGATCAAAGCCCTGGCTTATGGATCAACCACACTGGCTGGTGCTTTTTGGCAGGTTTCCCTATTTTGGTGTATCACCCACATCGAAGTGGATAACTCCCTGTTTGTAGATGCAAATGAACCTTCCAGAGAGACTAGCGCACCCGCCGCACCCACTGGTTGGCGGGCCCACATGAAAAACACCAAACCAACCAAGCCAATGGGGTAGCCATTTGGACAGCAATGTGTGTCGTGGAAAACGTTCGACCGTTCGGCTGATTCTGCAGCATTCAGGCGTGATGGCTGAGCTCAATGAGCTACTTCAGGTGGAGGAGACAAGAACATTAAGGGTATTTTGTGTCTTTTCTCCAGCTCGTGATGAACATGAGTCTTAAAGGGAAAGACAGCAGAAGACTTGAGTTTTGCTCTTCTGGAAGTGGAGGACATGCTTTCTCTGTTCTTTGTGTGACTGCCCATTCTGGTGGCAACCAGCATCTGCATTTGCATCGCTGTTTTCGTGAGGGCACCTCCCCTGTGAGTCATGGCACCTCCCCCACCGATCGGGGTGGGCCCCGGTGCCCTGACCCGTGGCCACAGATTTGCCCGTTGAGCATAGTTGAGCTACTTCAGAACGTGTCTTTTCTATTTCAGCCTTCATGAATGACTTCATAACATTTTATAACTATAATTGTGAGTTAGCTTTGGATAGCTTAAGTGAGTTCTTTAAGTGAGCTGACTAAGTCGGATGTGTCCATTTTTCCGTTTTCATCCTCATTTCGATCTTTTTCTTTCCGTCACCAACAGGCCTGGTAGTTTGAGATCAACTTACAAACAGGATGGGACAAAAGAACAGTTTGGTCACGAAAATCACCAAAAACGACTATATGACCATATATGTTAATTAATCTTCATACATATATACATCTACGATGCTTTCGTCGAAGCTCTTCATACCGATCAACGCCATCCCGACTTGGATCCGAACCCATCACATCGGTCTGTTCGCTTGGCACTTCTAACATCGGTCCACCCGGTCCGTTGGTGAGGTCAGTATGTCCGGTGGTACCTGAATGTTCCTGAGATTTTTTTGAAGTGGGAAGAGTGAGTGGGTGTTGTTGATGGGCTTAATTAATAAAGACCCAACATCCATGAGTGAATCATTATAAATCTAGTAAAGAGCCAGAGCCCTTCTTCGCGGAGGTTCAGCCGGACAGAGCTTTGAGTGCGACAAAGGGGAAACACCATGGGAATCATTTCGCCAGAAGAAACCTGGGTGTGCATTAGAATAGGGCGACCCCCAAAAGGGGCCCAGTTCTGAAAACGGACCCCATGGAAGAAGGAACATACAGAGACCAAAACCATCGCTGTGGGTATCACGGTCAAACCCGGTTGACCGCTCGGGTTGACCCCGGTAGGTTGACACCGGTAGGCAACCCATTCTGGTCATTTTCGCTGGTCAATTCCCAAAGACCTGGTTCTCAAAGAGGACTTCGTCGAGGAAGCGGAGACTGAGCCAGAGGCGCGCGGACGGCTAACTGGATCACCGGCGACAAAGAGATCCAGTGGGGACAGTGGGGACAAATGAGTGAAGCAGATGGTTAGAGTACTGCCCAGTAATTTGCATGATTAGTAGCCTGTGGTAATTAGTGCAGAATTGTTTTTAGCAAGTACATGTAGTGCCCGAGTAAAGCTTGTTCTTCAAACCAAGGTGTTCACCCACCCAAGGCCAAATGTTTGCATTTATAAATGAACCTAGTGACTTCGGACGATATTCTTGGACGGGACGTCCCTGAGTAAATCCAGAAAATGCGGTAAATCCAGACACAACTGGATCCACCATATCTGAGTAAATCCCAGAAACTCTTTGTAAATCCTAGAAAATCTATCGAACTCGGTCTATCAAAGCCGGGCAGACGAACTCGGTTGCCCAGAAGGGATGTGAATAGGATAGAGTACCAGACGTTTGGTCGCTCCGCAAAGGCTCCAAGGATTTGGATGCTTACCAGCTAGAATTCAACAAGCACATGATAAAATGTTTGTTGTTGTTTCTCCAAAACCCCGCGTAAGCTGCGGTGCCTGATTCTTTCGGAAAAGTGTTGGTTTTCCAAGCATTCATACTGTAGCTGTAGCAATTGCAATGCCATGGCAAGCTAAAGCTTCGAGAACGACTTCAAGTATTGCAGAAGAAACGTATGAATCTGAAATTAAGTGATATATATATATATATATACAAACTTGTTTCAAGGTCACAACAGCATCCTCAGAGGATTGTTTCAGCTGGAGTTTCATCAAACTTCCAAAGAAATTAATTTGGACCTGATCGACTGGCGCGGTGTCGGCGCGAAAAAACGGGTTCGGACGAAAACCACGCTTCGGTGTTGAGCGGTGAGCGGTTGATCGCTGAGGTCGCTGTCGGATCCACCCGACCAAGTTGAAGGATTGTTGCGAGAGTATTCCAAGGGGTCGTATTTTCTTCCTTTGTTTCAGGAGTTCAAGTGAAATTGATTTAACTAATTCGCAACTTGGCAGGTTGCGTTTGTCAACGTTGGGGACGTGTTGAGACAGTCTTGATGTAGCTAGGCCAAGCTTCTATGATCTTTCCAGCCTCCCTGACTGGGAATATCCGAACTCAAGGTGGTTCCGAACTGCAAACAGGAATGACTGGCAAACAGACCAGCCAAAACACCATGAAACACCCAGAACCCACAGGAACCTGGCTCCGCTTTGCCTTGGCTCGTCGGAGAAACGGTTTCTGGGTACCACATCTGCTGGATGGACAAAAGCTCTTGACTGTTACCAGTCTGACTCATCTGACGTTTGACCGTTTGAAGCTCTTCGGCGTACATCCGAACCGACCCGACAGTGTGTGAGATCCTGACATCCGCGCCTGGGGAGTGGTTTGACCACCTGTTTGGTTCAATGGTCCTTTCGTGGCCGCCATTGCCATCAAAAAGTGTCAATATCACCACCCCCCCGACCACACCCTTCCGCGCCTCCCCGTTTCGGCCGAAGGAAGCTCGGTTTTTCGCGCGTGCTTTTCAGGCCGAGAAACCGACGCCTTCACGCCGGAGGCTTGCCCAGGCGGCTTGGCGCGTGGCTCGACCGTGTACGGCTCGCGACGCAGCCGGGCTTCGCAGAGGCTAAGCCGGGCTAGAGCTCGGCTGAGGAGATGGTGAGATGGGGAGAGCGTGGATCAAAGGGATACAGAAGCATCAACAAATCCGTCGATTTGGGGGTCTCAATGAAAAGGGGGCGGTGGGACAGGTGATGGGCTGGAGAAAAAAAGCGGGCCGGCGTGGCTTCAAGAATGCTTTAGTTGATAGGATGATAGGATGCTTTAGGTATCGAATCTTTGGTATGTTCCCTTAGGCCCAGAGCCCATGCCTCTCGAGAATAATTAGAGCAAATGAGCAGTCCCAGCCCATAGTGACTGAAAGGGGGTTGTGCCATGCCGCCGGTGGGTGGTTTGATATGCCCATGACGAAAAACGGCCTGGGCCTTCCTAAGAAGGCCAATGTGGGAAGTGGATTGATTTCAATTAACAGATTAACATCTACTAGTTCATCTAGTTCTCCATTGCCGACCCCCAGTTCTCCACAGCATCGATCCTATGGACAGTCCGTGTCTGTTCTGTAGCTTCCCACGCTCGCGACCGACAGCGGTTTCTTCCAACGAGTACCGGGGGAAACCGGGGGAAACGCGGACCGGAAGGATGTGAAACGAGGGCCAGGCGCCCGAAGGTGGCAGGGAACGGCGCCCTACGTTGGACGAAGAAGCCGTTTTTAGGAGGACATGGCCTGTTGCTATGGGAGACTTTTTGCAATGAGGGAATACATTAATTCATTAATTTAAGAGAAACCAAATTTAAAATGATTGGACTAGCTTCCATCGGTGCAGTTTTCGTTTCTGCTTTGAGGCACTAGCAGCTGTGCTGCTGTGTGTCGGGGCGTGCGGTTGCTAAGCACAGCTGGAAGTTGGTTGTGCCATCCGGGTGAAGAATCTTCCTGGATACATGTTGACTTCAAAAAGTGTTCGTTCTCACTCTCCACATTTATCTTATAAGGCATTCGACAGAGAGGATGCATGTTACGACAAGCGTGGAAGGATTGATAATGATTTTTTGGATTTGTCTTGGCTTCGAGAAGGCGCGGTGTTTCTTGGACATGCTTGGCAAGCATGCCGTTGTAATGTTCTAGAGCTAGCGATCTGTTCAGCCGGAACTAACTTTGGAATGCAGCCCCACTTTCCAACTTCCTTTGCCATGTCCCACTTTTGGAAGGGCACTACGTTGAGAACCGCCTCGCCAAAGTAACCGCGGGCACATGGTGCGGCGCCATCCACGGCGTCACTGTTGATGTTTTCTATGTCAGATCTTGACCAACGCAACAATCCAAGTGTTCGATGACCTTCATTGACTTGGGAGGGTCAAAATGTAGACCCCGTAAACAAGTCGCAAGTGACTACATGAGCAGATACACAATGCTTCGACATGTATGACAATGTATGCTGATTTGTCGTATAGATAAAATGTGCAGAATGACCTGCCAGATCCTGCACGTCGTCCTTTTGCTTGCATGTTCAGACAGGCAGACAGGCCTAGTTCGGCCTCACCGAACTCCGCACCGTCCACCGCACCTGCCGCCCAAGCAGCCCGCTCCCAGGGTGCTTTGCCTGGTGCCTTCTCCCATGATGTCCTCCAGAGTGAACGGAATCCAGGCGACGAACCGGAACCGAAGCTGCGGGGTCTCCCGAAGCTGCGGTCTCCGGAGATCGTCCGGAGTGTTACACCCTGGAAGACGACGATCCCGACCTTGATTCAACCACTGGTTGGTAGAGGAAAACCATCTTCCAGGGGGCCAGGACGTGAGGGTCTATGTGAGTTTTCGGGAGTGTTAAGTCCAGAACTGAAGACTATTCAGACTCGGATAGACTTACCAGATGGACTCCAGACATGATCAACCTACGGTTTGGGGCTCCAAAGGAACTTGATTCACTGCCAAGTGAGTCAAGTTCCTTAAGGACTCTTTGGAATTCTCCGAAACAGACTCTAGTCTAGTGCTGTTTATATACTAGTGGTTGCACGTGTTGGTTAAACAATGTTAAGCAGGGTTCCTTGTCGGCCCAACTCGGCGCTTCTGACACCTTCGATCCTTCGTTGAGGAAGAACTGGCGGAATCGGTTTCCTGGGGCGCCTCTTTTCGTGGAGCCCCGATATGTATAACCTGTGAAATATGTAGAACCTGTATAGTATAGAACCATACATCCGTCTACATAAGACCAATGGCATACTCTTGCACCTCCATTGCACCTCCAGGAATTCGTTTCAAGCCAGCCCTCATGCTTGCTTGGGAACCTGGATTTCCAACAAAGCTGCCTCAATTTCAGGCAGAGTGAGTGCCATAGATTGATGATCATGATGTTTCCCCTATAGATCTTTCTGTCATCCCTCCTGTCCACCTCCATGTCACCGCCACCTCCCCTCTTCCCAACCTCACGGCGTCACGTCGTGCCGTCCGAGAGACCGGGGCACACGACTCGAGAGTCCTCGACGACGTGAGACTCGTCGGGACGACGTGAGACTCGTCGGGACGACGTGAGAAGCGACTCGACTCGTTCTAATAGCTTCTTCTTACTACTAGGAACAGGTGCCACGCTAGTAGTAACAGGTGCCTTACTAGTAGTAACAAGAAGCTATTAGAATTAAAATTAAAGTAAATTTAATAGCTTCTTGTTACTACTAGTAAGGCACCTGTTACTACTAGCGTGGCACCTGTTCCTAGTAGCTTCTTTGTTACTACTAGTAAGGCACCTGTTACTACTAGCGTGGCACCTGTTCCTAGTAGCTTCTTGTTACTACTAGTAAGGCACCTGTTACTACTAGCGTGGCACCTGTTCCTAGTAGCTTCTTTGTTACTACTAGTAAGGCACCTGTTACTACTAGTAAGGCACTTGTTTCTAATAGCTTCATTTTGATGCTTGGGTGGTGCAGGAGCAGTACGAGATGCCGCCCATGGGACAATGCTTGTGTCTCTTTGATGTCGACCGAACCTTGACCTCCAGGCGGACGGGACCGTACGCGTGGCGGGTACGCGTGGCGAGAGGAAGAGCTGAGAGGAAGAGCGGTAAGACCGGGAGGAGCGACTGGGACGTGTGAAGTGAGAGAGGTGATCCAGATGCCACCCACTGGCGAGGATTCCCACTGGCTTTCCCTAATGATCCCTGATGAGAGAATAGTATTTCAGGATATTTCAGGATAGTTCAGGCACAGCTGTAGGCGTTGGCCATGTCATGTTACCATGATCTTGATCTGTGCTGTTGGCGAATGCGTCGTTTTCCTCAACACAGTGACCATATAGTCTATGATCACCTCCTTGTGGTACTGGTGGCCAAAGCACACCCACCACAGCTGGTGCTAAAGCCACCAACGCTTTTAAAGCCACCACAGTTGTGGTGACCATGCCTTTAAAGCCCACCCGACACATCCAGACCGTTCTCCCACCGCACCTGGTGCGCTGTGACGGCTCACCGCTCATCACCGCCACCGCCATCGGCTCGAGTGTCACACGCTCCCCATGCGCGAAGTGGTCGGAAGTCTTCGGCCACTAGTCATCGACGTGTTCGCGCGCATACGTGAAATGTGTGGTCTGTGAAGTGAAAGGTGTGGAGGATCCAACTGCCTTCGGTTCGGTACTTGGTAGTGTATTTATATATTTAGACATCAGACATCTAAATAGATAGGAATGTAGATCTTCACTAATGATGTGTTGGAAAGCGTTTCTATCTATTTGGGGACCACTATATATATATATAGAGATGCAATGCAGAACTTACTTCAGCTCCTTGCATGACCTGCAAGATCATGCAAGCATATGCCTTTGGACAATTCATAATTACTACTGTCAACAATAAGATTTGTTATTACATGATCCTCTTTGTCTTCCTCAGCTCCAAGCGATCTCACCCAGCTTGCGGGACTCACCACCCTGGGGCCGTGATGGCGCTCACGCCCTTTTTCGCTCGAACTCGTCCGTCCATGTGACACAGGTGTCCATGTGTTTTCACTCCATGTGACACAATGGAGGTAGATGTCAGAGTCTAGAGATGTTTTTCAACTAGGGTGACCAGTCCAGATAGGCTTTCAGACTATGATTCATTCGAGGTAGATCTCCCAGAAATTCTTTGCGGTTCGGCGATGCCACTGGGTGAGGTGTCCCCATATCCTCCACTCCCAGGATATGCCGCCTATGGTTCTACATCCTGATCTTCGAAACCACCCTTGCATGTATGGGACTCAGACAATGAGGAATCTCATGCACTTTAATGTGTTTGAGGCATGGAGAGAACCCTGATTATATAATGGTTCATATTGAGATATGTGCACTGATGTTTGAAATAGCTTGATCTATATACTTACATGCTATATATATATATTTATCTATACCATGAAGGTGGTCCTGATCATTTGACCAATCAAGGTGGGGACTTTGGGGGGGTCCAAGTTTAGGGGCATAGGTATCATCAAAAAAAGGGAGCATCAAAAAAAAAACAGGATCAACAAAAAGAAAAAGCGAATCAAAAAAATAATATTCCTTGATAGGCCTCTTCTGCTGCTCTCCTGGCCTTGTGGTCTGCGGGTCCTCTGGTAATGTGGTCCTTTGGTCCCTTGGTCCTCTGGTCCACTGGTCCTTTGGTCCCCTGGTCCCTTGGTCCTTTAGTCCACTGGTCCCCTAGTCCTCCGGTCTCCTGGTCCTGTGGTCCGCTGGTCCCCTGGTATCCTAGTCCTTCTGTCTCCTGGTCCGCTGGTCTTTTGCTCTCCTACGGCGCTCGTCTGTCGATCTCCTGGTCCCCTGCTTGCGCAAATAGAGGCTGGATTGCTTTCTACTAGAGGCAGCTCCCTGGGAAGAAAGTAGGTACCCAACGATAAGGTTGCCGTCCAGTCATTGAGTAGCCCTACTCGAAAAATGGTTCACCAGTGGAAATAGCTCCCTACTAGGAGGGAGCTCCTGGGGAGGTACACTCTCCTCTACTACCCCAACCATCCTCAGTGGGCTAGAATATTGTTTTTTTGATTACCTTTTTATTTTTTTTATTGATCCCCGTTGAATATTTTTTTGGTTCTATGTTTATTTTGATCCCTTACCCAATCTAGGAGTCCTTCCGTGTGAAGCTGGTGTGTTTCCCATGTCCCAACTGGAGCAGCTTCCGGACATAAGACATCGGGACCAAGTGGATTTTCTCAACATCTTCAGGTGAAAGGCTAGTCAAGCTCACAGGTGGGGGGTACCACTGATCACTATTGATCAGAACATATCAGAACTCTTCCCCAAAGATCCCCAAAGACTCCTGATGGATTGATGGAGTGTCCCTGCAAAAACCTGTTGATGAAGTGCCTATAGCCACATAGCTCGGGCGTTGCGCGCGTGCATCATGCACAGGCCACGAGCCCTTTGCGTTCGATGGGGTTCCTCGGCTAAGAACAAGGTGACGCAAGTGGACAAGCATGTGCGGCATGGATGCTGGTGAACGTCGATGCCGTCTTCGGCATCGATGTCAAACCCTCCCTCCAGTGGTCGGGAGGTTTTGCAAAGAACCAGGTCTCGTCGCCTGAAAAAAAGGATCCTTTTTGGGATCCAACTCTATGGATCCAATCACAAGACTTCCTCGAGGGTCGGGATATGCGGATATGCATGTGTGATGCTGCTTCAGACTCACCTTCAGACTATCTGATCAGAAGGGGCCGAGTATATTTGTCCTGCGCATGTGACCATGTGCGCCGCCAGACCCACTATGCCTAAGGAGACGGGCCATGCCTTCCTGGCAAGATGCGCTTTGCCACTGGTCTCAGCAGCAGAGGTGGCCAAGAACGCCATGTGACATGGTTTTGTGCGGTTTTGTGCACCGAAGAATGCCTCTTCTTTGGATAGACCCTGTAATTGGAAACTTGTCTTGTACAGTACTTGTACTTTCGAGACATCCCTCCAGTTCTGTGCAGTTTTATATCCAAAATGAAGGGAAGTCGGGTACGGGACAACGATAGGAAAGGAAACCTAATAGAGGTGTTTGTCCCATACCTGCAAGCGAACGACCATCAAATGCCTCGTGCGCTGCTTGGCTCCTCCGGTGCTTCGTCGTCAACGCTTGCAGCTCGGTGCAGATCGGTGCAGGCCGCAGGCACGGGGCGTGCCTTACCAGAGGAGCATGAGCTCCAGAAGTGTTTGGCTTCTTGGTTTGGAGCGTGGGAAGTTTGCAAAGGTACATGTAGTTTGTTTTTGGAGTGGAACAGTGGTTGATTTTTCATGGATGTTCATCAGGAACTCACCCAACAGATTGTTTGAGGATGTAGTGATGGAGATGAGTGATACATAGAAGACATTCTTCCGTAGAGTGCTAGACTGCTAGACACTGGATTCAGAAGTGGGTATGCATGGGTGTCCTCCAAGATTGGGCAAGAACTCTTCCTTAAATCTTGGATACTATCAAAAGGGTAGGGTATACTTGGTACTTCTGAGCCAGGAAGGAGTGATTTCACCTCCTTTGTGGAAGCACAGACTTGGAATTGCGACATCGGCCACTTTGGTCGTCGCGGCCAGATGTGAACGAAGCCTGTTTTTGTCGTCCACCCGTTTTGGGCTACGAAGCTTCTGTCTTTCTCCAAGATCGAGCGCCTCCAAGCGAAAACCACCTGAGACCTCCTGAGACCGCAAGTGTAACGAGGTCCAATGGTCTGCAGACGGGTCCTTAAGGTGGGTGTTGTTGGGCGATGTTGGGTGTGATCTCCATTGCAACACCCACATGATCCCAGGATTTCTTCAACGGACCACCTTCTATATATTACATGGACCCTCCGAAAGATTCCCAAAGGCTTGACCTCTCTCAGTCTACTAATTAGTTAGTTTGTTTTCACTTCCGCTCTTTTGACTTTTCCTACCCTGGGGTTGCTCCGTCTTTCACCTGGCTGGGTGGATGGCAGCGGTTTTTCCGAAACTCAGATCACCGCATCCAGCCTGGACGCCTCTCTCCGCAGCGACCAGACCAACACGCACACCTGTGGACGATGTCCCGAAGGCGCGGGGGCCTTTGTTTCGGTGCTGAAGCTAAGCTGAGCAGGAAGTCGCTGGATGGTCGAAGTTTCGTTTTTTTTCTCATGGTTTTCGAAGCTTTGCAGAAACTGGAATGGCCAAGGTGCAGACTGTCGCATGGAGTTTTTGCACGCAGCAACACGTATACTGCTATGTGTACCGTCAAGCTCTTCAGGTTGTGTGGTGGTCTTGCTGCTCCAGGCGAGCCTTCATGTCATGGGTAGAGATATGAATATTTGGTCGTTCAAGAGACCTGGGAACACGTCCACACCCGGGTTCTGAGCCCCCCATGGAACCTGGGAGCATGCTGATAGCACTGAAAGCTGCCGAACGATAATATGTGGAAGAGGAGAGGAGAGGAGTCGCAGGAGATGAGTCAGTTCAGCTGTTTAAACGTTGACAAAGTTACGACCAAGTATAGTTTTGATGGAAAAGGCGTGACATCAGACCTTCTTGCCAGCAGATGATCAGAGAACGGTTGAAGATGGTTGCGGTTGAAGTGATGTTTTCTTGTCTTTGACATGATCAATGAAAGGATGCCAAATGGCAGAAGTAGTTTTCACCATTGTTCACCAGTTCATCTCAGGAATTCCCAAGCGTCGCTTCGGGGAATTGTACCTCGCCACTCGCCACTCGAAGGCGGTTGCTTTTCCAGCAAACTTTGAAGAGGCGCAAGTCTTGCGCAAGTCTTCATAGCTGGTCAATTCGACTCCATGTTTGACCACACAAGAGCTGAAACAGCTCAAGAGGAAACAAGATCGACTCACCTTTGGTCTTTATAGGTCTTTATGTTTTTTTCAAGTGAACCATGGTCCGAACACGAAAGCCAGAGACCAGCCAGTGATACCCACCTTACGTTCATCAGTAAGCCTGGCCTTTTTTCGGCCCGGTCAGTCGACCGGAGGCTGAAACTGAGTCATTCTGAAGTAGATAGTGGGGAAACAAACCAAGACCGAAGATGAACAGCATTCTCTTCTTCTC